GGTTATTAATAAATCCTTCTTATAAAGTAATTGCAAAATATTTCAAAAAACTTTCTGTCTGAATGCAAATATTTTTAATTTTATATTAATCAAGATTGCACACGATATTATTTTGTTGCACTTCAATTCTTAACGTCAGTTCTAGTAGAAGTTACAAATCAATTAATTGGATTGGATTATTTAATTATGGCAAATCACACGAAGGTTATCTGCCTAAAAAGAGGGATGGCTTCGTGGAGGACTTTCTAAGGGAAACTGGCTCGTATACACGTTACACATCGGGAAAACCACGAAAACACCCATGCAACCAGCCCGTTCGCGGGATTCGAACCTCGGACCGAACTACCAGTGATCAGGTCTTTACCGCTCGGCCGTTTGTGGGCCTTTATGAAATGGAAGGCGATAACTTTATTTAAAATGATTGTCAGAAATACCAAAATGTTTCGAAAAGTTGGATACTTTTTAATATACTTTCAGAATGCTTAAAGAAAAAGAGAAGAAAAATAATTTTTTTCGTAAAATTTAGTATTTGTATTTTTTTTAATTTAAAACTTTTCAATGCTATGATATTTGATTCTTGCGATTTCAAAAATAAAATATTTGACTAAAATATGAATAACATTTTAAGAAACCAAATGTAGGATAAAATTGTGTAAAGCAATGGGCACAATGATAAAACTATTTAAAGCAGTGTATGCAAGTCATCCTAAGTTAAAATGTCGGTTATACATCTCTCTTATTTATATATATCTTTTCTGAACGGAACATTGAAAGGCGTGTAAAACTGTGCTTTACTGTATTTTCTCTTTTAATATAGTATGCAGTTTTCAAACTCATCGTAGTCTGGGTTACAAAGTATTCTTCCGAAAGAAACGCAGTTCAAATAAATAAAATCAAATTCTGGAAAATTGATATAATAAATATATTTAAAATGCTCAGTTCGAAGGAATAAATAAAATTTTAAAACAATATCTGAAGAGACAATGCAACACAAACAATTAAAATGAAAGTATAAAATTTAAAAATTATCTTAATAACTATACGGAATATATATAAGGGCGAGTCAAATGAAAGTGAGCCAACCCCTCCTCAGCAAGAATGGTTCGGTCCTTCATCTGCGGCGCATGCGCGTAGCACAGAGATAGCCTTCGTTTACGAAAGTGGCGCGAAAGTGTGAGGTTAAAGTTCTTTAAGGCGCTCTTACACTGGGTTGAAGACGGTAGCGTGACATAATGGACGCTCCAAAAGAGGAACAGCGTGGTGTGGTCAGGTTTTTGACAGCTGACAGCTGAAGGTGTTTCCCCCAAAATGAAATTAGTCGCCGTATGACTGCTGTGTACGGTGAATTGCATTGCATCGCATTGGCCACTGTGAAGCGTTGGAGCAAACGGTTCAGAGAGAAGGACGTGAAAGTTGCAAAGACGATCCAAGACCGGGCCAAAGCCACCTTGCAATCACCCCCGACACAATTGCACAGGTTGATGAGCTGATTAGACAAGAACGGAGGATAAGCATCGATGAACTGGCAGAGCGTGTGAACATCAGTCACGGTTCGGTTCACACCATAATTCATGATCATCTCGGTTATCGGCTTTTGTGTGCTCAATGGATGCCCAAGATTTTGAACGACCGCCAGAAGACGGAGAGGTTCGGCGCTGCTTTGACTCATCTCATCCGGTATCACAATGAGGGTGACGACTTCTTGTCTGCAATTGTGACCGGAGACGAATCATGGTGCCACCACTACGAACCTGAAACACGCCGGCAAAGCTTACAGTGGAAACATTTGAATTCACCACCCCCGAAGAAAGCAAAGGCTGTCATTTCCTCGGGAAAGGTGCTATTGACTTTTTTTTTCGATCGTCAGGGGCCATTACTGATTGAATTTGCTAAACGTGGAGAGACTATCAATAGTTCGCGATATTGTGCAACGCTGGATCGGCTGCGTGTCGCAATCAAGAACAAACGACCTGGAAGATTGACGAATGGTGTGATCTTGCTACACGACAATGCTCGTCCCCACGTCGCTGATGTGGTTAAGACACAACTGGCAAAGTTCAAGTGGGACACGCTGCAACATCCTCCATACAGCCCAGATTTGTCGCCATGCGACTTTCACATTTTCGGGAAACTGAAAAAACATCTCAAGGGTACCAGATTCGTGTCGGACGCCGCCGTGAAGGAGTCGGTTACAGACTTTTTGAATCGACAGCCCAAGGAGTTTTATGAGACGGGGATCACGCGGCTCATTTGTCAATGGGATAAATGTCTCAATGTTCATGGAGACTACCTTTAAATAAAGTACTCTGTTTGTCATATATTCGCATTGGCTCACTTTCATTTGACTCGCCCTTATACAAAGTAAATTATTTGAAAAAAAATAAACGCTGCACCTTTATTTACGCAGTTCGAATAGGTAAACAGAAATTTTTAAAACAGTTATTCGAAAAAAAAAAAAGAAAAAAAAAGAAAGTGCAACTTAAACAATTAAAATGAAATTCGAAAAAGAAAAAATTACTTAAAATAATAAATTATAATTAAAAATATAATATAAAGAATATTATTTGGAAAAAAGGAACGATGGTGACTTTTTTTCCTCTCACGGGAAAGGAAACTAGGTTGCCATATATTAAGAAGTTTGCCAAGTGAAGTATTCTTGGCGCAAACTGACAAAAAAGTGCCAACATAAATTTGTGAATTTCTCTGTAAATTTCGCTCCAAATTTTACAAAATTTCATATTTAGGCGTAATTTGAGTCGCAGAATCGAAATATGTAAAAAAATTGGTATGTTATTTCAGAAAAAGTCCGATTTTGTGTCAAAATACCTATGTTAGAATAGTGCTATATATAAATCTAATATATATCCTAAGTCGCGCTTTCGAGACATGAAGAACGCAATTTGAATTTTGTCAATCGGCCCAGTAGATTGGGAGATATAGGACTGTCCCATTTTTTTTTTGAGCAGTGTACATCTTTCTATATTATATGTGTATATTTTCTTGTTGTTGATTACATTATCTTACCTATTAGTAATCGAAAAGACATACACTTTATTCGTAATCGATCCTCTAATGGCATAAAGAAAGATTGTAAACGTTAAATAAAGAAGTTATGAACAAATTACAACAATCCGTTAAAAATAAATTTTTAATAACTATATATTATTCATTAGTATTTATCATTAGCGGCTAATGTTCCCTCTAGTGTTTTTATCACTAGTGTAAACTTTGTTTAAAAAGTCTTTGTTACTTTCAGCAGTATCGAAAAATTCACTGCAATTTAGTTGACTATTAATTTTGCAGCTTAGTAAAGCTTTTAGTGTCGATTCAGCCATTTTACCTCTTTCTTCAAATCATTTTTTTATGGTGCTTATAATTGACAATATTCTTTTGATTGCTGCCAGTGTGTCTCGCATGGTTGAAAATGTATTCAGTCATTTAAATGGCACTGTGCAATGAAATATGTTTTTCTTTGAAATGATAAAAATTTGTATCCATTTATTTTATTTATTTATTTAAACAATTTTTATTATTCTAAATTTCAAATTTAGCTGACGAAACCTTTTGAAATCATTAACTCATCAAAAACGTGATGCATATTTATTGTATAATTTGTAACAGTTTAATTAATTTTTTTATTTTAAAAAATAGAATTAGAATTATATTTTTTCAAAATGACTAGAATTAGAATATATGTCAAAAACGAAGAAGTACCGGAGCCAGGCTCCAGCACAATTTAAAGCTCTGCTAAGAAGCCAAGTTCGGCAAAAACCACAAGAGAATAACAGTTTGGTTGAAAGTACCAGTATATCCTCTACAAATCCCTGGCCAAGATTTGTTATTTGAGAGGGTACAGTAGCATCATATAACCTTAAAAAAAAAAAAAAAAGTTTATGCCAACTGTCTTGCGTTTACCTGGCCTACATTGCTTTGTTCTGCGCAAGCCCTGAACCTCGATTTTTCCGATTAAAATTATCAAAAAAAGCAGTGCATGGTATTATTGAACATATGGTATCTATAAGAGGCTCTATTAACAACAATGGTAACTGACAATTAATATCAAATGCAACATACGTATTGTTCACATTATAAATGTGGATCTTCCTAGCACAATATTCTGAAACAGTTTGCAGACTGAATTAGTCACACACTTTAAATATTTCAATTGCATGTTACTCTGATTCATTATAGTTGAAGGCGATATCAGAGGAGCTAAGAGATGAATGTTTATTCGCCCCCACCCCGGAATTCGAGAGACCTCGATGACAAATACAGCACAGACCACTAAAATTCCCTGACACTGTACGTGAAATTATGACTCTTGTAGTTTCAAGTGGAGGCATTACTGAACAAATTACTGCTCCTGCAATGTAGAAGCGTGTTGTATTGCATCTCATAACAGCTTGAAGACTGCGACTTACACACACATGAATTTCTAACTTTTGCATGATTCGACATATTAGTTATTGACAAAAGTAATACTGGCAGTATTATTTTCTGCGAGTGATAGTGGCATTAACAGACAGAAATTCAGAAAATAACTACTATACATAGGAGAGGGAAATGTGATACATTCACTTCATAACTTTTGTTTATCTGGTGAACTTCATAAAGGATAATAAAAATAATTGTTTTATTTGTTAATAAATTAAACAAACACAAATAAGAAATAAATTATAGATGTTTCATCTTTTTGTTTAATATATGAAACTAAATTGAATTACTTTTTTTTCCCTATCAGAATTATATAATGGTTAAATTAATAATAAATTACCTTTTTTCACATATATTAATTACACTATTATATGTATTAAATTGAATAAAATGAAAACTACTACTAATTGATAATACAAATTGAATTAGCTTTCTGCAGTTTTAATCAACCACAACAATTTTCTGCAGCTGACAGAAAACTGTTTTCTGTAGGTAGAGAATTATCCCTGGAAGTAGCACTTTATGGCATTAAATGCAAGAGGTTTAATAAATAAAAAACAGCTAAAGAAACAAGAAATTTCTTTATTGTTAAAGTACATTTCATTAAAAGAGATCAACAAGAATAAAAACAACCATCATCAAAGCAACAGGTTGTTCACTGCTACAAAAAGTCATGAATATGCATGATGGTATTTTGTAACAACATAACTGCATTAAATTCATCCTAGATCTAGTAATTGTTAAAAATATGGCTTTTCCATATTAAATGAAATACTTTCTATTTATATATCAACACAGAATAAATTTTATTCCTAAAATAAACTTCCCTTTGTACATAAAATCTATAATAGAAATAAGCATATATAAATTTAATGTAAATAAATAGGGGATAGAAAACAATTTTGTTCTTTCCTTATTAAATGGCACTGAAAAATTTATTTTTGATTAAAGGGAAACAAAAGGACGTTTATAAAGATAAACGTGTTAAGAAATAAAATAGTTTTATATACATAAAATTATACACCATGCTAAATATCAGCTCGTGAAAAATTTGTTTCTTTTTGCATAGTTTTTTGCCTTTGTCTGAATACATTTAGCATTCATTATTTCTGGGTAAAACAAAAATTATTTACAAAATTTGCTTTTTAATAGCACATCCTAGTAAAACAAACACTGAAAATTTTGATTGTCAGCATAATACACCTTCCCCAGAAATTCACACTTTTAATACACTTCAACAACTACAAAAATTGACAAAACATTATTATACTACATAATAACTGAATACATTACTTCTTAATGTGTATCCTTCATTTAAAATCTAAAATGTACATGAAAAACAAGATCAGGAGATTCTGACAGATCATGACATACTATAAAATCAATGAAACTCCAATAGCAAGATGAAAAATGAAAAACTTTCTATTGATAAAAACAGGCACAAAGTAAATAAGTGAAAAATTACAAAACTAATAACATTTTAATAATGATTCCTGTTGGTTGACTCTTAGATTCTTGTAATTTCTCAATTTATATTTTAATTAAAATGAAAAATTAAATTGAATTAAATTATTAAGTGGTAAACATAAATGTTACTAATTTAGAACTTTACCATTAAATCAACAAGATGATTATTTTTGTATGAAAATCAAAAGAAAATACAAGTAAAATATTACAAGTGAAATAATTATACTAAACAAGAAAGTGTAACAACAATTAAATGTATATATAGCAAAAGCAGTTTTGTTAATATAACTTTTATATATTGTAAAGGAAGCTAAACACCAACATTTTACATAAGTTGATATATATATATGAACATACATATAATAAATCAGACAATTAAAAAACAACTTAAGACTGGTGCATTTAAATAATAAACTAAGCTGCCATTGTAAGATAGGAACAATACGATTTTTCTGATTAATAACAGCATTCTCTAACAAATCTTGACTTCATAAGAAACATGATAAATGATACTTTTACTTGCTTTATAAGAAAATTTACATACTTTCCATGAAGTATATTTTACAGCAAATATTTTAATATTACAAAGATACAGGACAAAAGTATGATACACTTTTTCAAATCATACGAATGTACTAAAACAATTAACTTGCACAAATTAAGATTACTCTGGACAAGCATATGCAAAATTCTCTTGTGCTGTTATTTAAATTTAGCAAAGTAATGAATGCTCATAATCACTGAAAACAAAGCCGACTTATTTTTTAGGATACCGTCTAACATCTTTATTTCATAGAAAATGTAAAAGAACAATGAAAAAGATACATTCTAGATTTAAGTGGAATGCATGCAATTAAAAATTTCTAAACAAATTCTTATAAACATGATAACAGTCTTAAAATTTTAGCTTAAATTACAATAATTTTGTTACATAAATATTTGAAAATAATATTTAATTCCTACATTATTAAAATGTATTAAATTTTTCCTTGCACTAATTTAGCAATATTTTTTAATGTTTTGAAAAATAAAAAATATAATATCTCGAAAGGAGAAGTATGGCACTATATTAAAACAACTCAATTATTATATTTTATAGAGAACTGAATTTACGGCAAAAAGAAGCACAATTTAAATATATACAGATATATGAAAATATTATTTACGTGCAGTTTATCATACAGGTTTGCACTACTTTAAACATACTATAGCCCTTTTTATTAATACCATTAAAAGTTCCAACAATACATTTATTTTATGTTCAGGTACAGGGCTGCTGATTATTGTAATCACTGCTTTCTTCTCAGACACTTAAAGTGATCACAAGGAAGCTTAAAAGCATTTCACTTGAAAATTGCTATTTTAATTGAATTATCTTATTTAACACTACCATTACTTGGATTATCTTTTAGGCCAAAATATAGCCAATTAAGCGGAATTTTTTTTCAACATATATTTTTAGAAAATTTTCCAATAAATAGTTTTTACAGTAATTCTGATGACAATCAGTGAAGATACTAAAATAACAAAAAGCATCAAAATGAGTTTACTTCTATTTAAGGTTACATAAAAAAGAGTGTACACTTATAATTAAGAAGCTATTTTTAGTCTAACTTAAAAAATGGAAATTTAAATGAGCATTGTATAAGTCTTTTGTAAATACCAGGACTGAACAGGTAAAAAAGAACTACAGCAAAAATGTCAATCCTTAATAAAATATTGGTGTTAATGCATTAATGTGATTAGATACATTTAACCTTATTAAAGGCACTGAATAAATAAATTTTTACATTACTTAAAAATATCACACAGTGCTCTATACTTGAGTTATCAGTTATTTATTATTAATCTAACTTACAGAACATGATCACTTTAAATGGCACTCACAGTAATTATACATAAAAAATCTACTTATTTTCTGTACGAAATCACAATCTTATATAATACAAAAACGCACCTAATATTCTGAATAGAAATGCTAAGAAAAAAGTTTATATAAACAATGTCTTGTGACACAATGAATGATGAAGCATTTCACACTAGCTGAACTTCCAGCATTGTTTAAAGAAGTCTCAGATGTCTTACATTCCAACTTTTATTAAATTCATTATAACAGTAGACAGGACAAAATAAATCCACTAGTGATAATTGAAAACCCAGCAGAAAATAAAAATATATGACACAACCTTGTATATATATATAGATTTTTGAGCGTCACTAAAAGCACAGTCTTATAAAACACTGAAGTTGTAACAGAGTTCCCAGGCAGAAAGCTGGCTATTGGCTGAAGGAGAAACAAAAAGTAATAGCATAGGTCCTCAAGCAAAAAGCTTTTCAAAACAAGGGTGACAATAAGGCTTGTCATTCTGTTCTTTGAATGTGCCTTTGTTAAGCTGTTTCAAACAAAAAGAGCAGACAAAATGTTCAGGGTGAAACTTTCGGGACATGGCAGTGACACAACGACCGCTGATGGGTTTATGACATCCAGCACACAAGGATCCTCGCTTAGCATGGTAATGAAGCTCACAATAAGGTTGACCATCAAGATCGAAGAAACTTCCACCATTGAAAGGCTGGCGGCAATCCTGTGATTAATGATGAAAACATATTATTGCTCATTTTCAAATTTATGTGCTATAACTAAATAACTAATTATCCATTCAGAAATTAATACTTAGGAAAACATGCAGTATTGCTATTAGAAACAGAAAAAATGCAAATTCATTTGATTAAAATCACATTTTATTCAGTATAAATCCTAACATTATTTTTTCCAGTATGTGACAGAAAATATTTCAGTGACAGCTGAATTTTTTTAATATTTTTTGAGAATCTTTCTCTATCAAAACAAATGTAAAGGAAAGAGGATTATTTCTAGAGTTAACACAGATAAATTCTAAGTATGGAACACTAAAGTCTCTCCAGAAAATTAAAACCTCTTCCTATGGGCTATCACAGATATGTCCCACACATTTACTGCATTTGACCATCTAAGTGGTATGATCAGCTTTATCCAGTCTAGAGATTTTTTAAATCACTTCTTATATATTAGTTTCCAGTTGAAAATATTTTGCTTTCTTATTTTCTTTAATGATCTAAACATAATTTTAATGAACAGAAGTAAAACAGAGACTAAAATTAGCAATTATAATAATTCAGCTAATCAATGTTGTTTAAAATACAAGTCTTCATGAGCAGATACAAAATGCCATGCTTCTCTGAAGGCTAAAAAAAGTTCAAGAAAATTTTACTCCACTAAGAAGACTAAAGATCTACTTCTTAAAGCTGGATGGAAAGAGAGAGATCCAACTGTCCAGTTTCTCTTCATGAAAAATTAATCTTTGCATGCCACTAGAAAAAGCCCTATTCATGGTCACTATGAATTTTTACAAATGTTCAGGTCCACTGAAATTGCAATGATCAGATTCCTTTTTAAGGTACGCTCTTGCTGAATATCAATAAAAATATTCTTTTAAAAGTTTTGAGTTAAAATGTTTATTCATTTTAACTGAAAGATGAAAACAGTGTATGTATTCAAGTTTATGAATCTCAAATACTTTTCAGAATTTAAATTTTCCATCCTTAATTTTTTTTTACTTAATGTTATGCTATAATAATACCATGAGCAATTCCCAAAATCCTTTCATAAATGTCAGTTATGATGAAGACACACATTCCTTTTCTTAATTCCTAAAATCTTCCAACATGTTAAAAATTAATTTTTTTAAATACTTTTGTCATAAAGTTGGACTTTCTAAAATTAAAATAAAACACATCATGCTAATAATTAAGAACAGATAAACATTAATACATAATTATGTTCACATTATATTTATATACATAATTAATGATACAACATTATGCACATTACATCATTACATATAATATATACATATATGTGCGTGTTCAGATTTTCCAACATGAAAACAATCCATACGTGTGCTTCAGATTTATCAGTCATTTATTAACAGCTTTCATCTGGCCCCCCTCCAAATCTGCTTATATAATACTTGGAGACGCTCATTTAATATACATAGCTATGTAACAGTTAAAAAAGCACACATACTGCATAATATTTAAATTATTTTAAATAAGCAAGCACAGAGAACAGCAGTGTATCTTCCCCCCCAAAAAAAGCATATTACTAAAATTGCATTTAATCTCTTCATTGCAGCATATCATACATGATATTCTTCAACTTTCCTCTGTGGGCTCACCATGTCAAATGTTACATGGGGTGAAGTGTTACTGATTGCCTACCATAAATGTTCTGCTTCATCATATCAAATATGATATTTGATATGATGAAGCAGAACATTTTATTTGAAATTTTAAATGCACAACAATGATGTGAAATTTAGCTCAACAGAATGTCTAGATGTTAACCTTGTTATTATGCAGATTTATTCTATGTATGTGAAATGAAAGATGCTTGTAACATATTTTCAAAACTTAGAAATCTTTCACACCATGCACGCTACTTAAAAGTTTTATATATAAGTATAGCAATAAGATATAATAGGCACTGATATTTATTAAATTTGCTTCTTCATTATTATGTGAAAATAGTTTTGAAAGGTAAATAAAAACATCATTACTAATACTGCACAGTAACTTAATTTTTAATGCTTGACATTTGCTGCAGTTTATCATGCTCTAATTAGAATCTTATAGGAGTATAGAATCACCATCATAGAGAAATGGGACTGCTCCAATTATAATATTTTTACCTTCTTAATAAAGCATTTTTTTTTCTAAATTTTTCCTTTAGTATTCCTTTCATTAATGTTTAATTTATTTTAAAGAATATTATAAAAAATATTACTCTTTTAAATATTTCATAGGCTAATTAGTTTCATTATTTTTTGCGTGCGCGCAGGTGCAGAATACGTTTTCGCCTTCGCGTTTAATGTATAACGGATGGTGTAAGCTAAAATGATCTAATTATCTATTTCAGTTAATGTTAATGATTGTGTTGTTTCTTTATTTTCAAATTGGATCCCACTTATTACTTTTTGCAGACTTTTAGTGCAATTTTATAAAAGTAAACTTGAACTTTCGATTATGTCAAATAGAATTTACGATGCTGGAATTTCCAAAGGATCTACAAAACGAAAGTATGTTTCCATGTCCATCAAACAAAAAGTGGAATTGCTGCAAAAATTAGATAAAGGCATACCTGTCTCAAAGTTATGCAAGGAATATAACATTGGAAAGTGAACTGTATATGACATAAGCAAAAAGAAAAAGGAACTTTTTGATTTTTTTGTGGATTCCAACACCCCACTTGCAATGAGTAACAGAAAAAGGGTTCGTTATGCTAAAAGTGACGATCATGACAGAGTGATGATTGAATGGGTCAGACAGTGTCGCAGCGAGGGCGTGCCATTGACGGGTCCAATGGTAATGGCTCAAGCCAAAATATTTCATGAAGAAATGAACTTAAACGGAGAGTGCACATATTCAACAGGTTGGTTAACAAAATTTTAAAATCGCCATGGTATAAGACAATTAAAAATTTCTAGGTAAAAATCTTCAGCTGATACTGAAGCTGCTGAACAATTTGCAGATGAATTCATCGAATTCATTACTAGAGTGAACAATTATGTGCAGAACAAATTTACAATGCTGAATGAAACTGGTCTTTTTTCTGGCAATATACCGCGTGACCGACCGCGAAATACCTTGGCAACCTCTACATAAAAGGCTCCAACTGGTGTCAAAGATTCCAAAGCGAGACTAACAATTTTAGCCTGTGCAAATGCTGCAGGAACGCACAAGTGCAAACTTTTCGTAATCGGAAAACATGCACGACTCGACCGTTTAAAGGAGTAACGATTTTCCCTGTTATATATCGCGCAAATAAAAGAGCATGGATGACACAAGTGTTGATGAATGATTGGTTTGAAAATCATTTTATACCCGAGGATATTTGAATTCAGTTGGTTTACCTGATAACTGTTCGGCGCATACCTCACTTAAAGTTTTAATGAAAGATAATGTATCTGTGTTATTCTTCCCTTCAAATTGTACGTCTATCATTCAGCCTATGGATATGGGAATAGTGCACGCGCTGAAATGTAAATATGAAACAACATTTTTAAAATCTATGTTAAATTTCTTGAACAGTGGCAAGACTATTCAAGAACTTTTGAAATTTTTTAGCATAAAATCTGCCGTGTGGAGCATCGCAAGATCGTGGGAGGATGTGTCTTCAAGTACGTTAAAAAATGCTTGGCATAATTTATGGCCATCTACCATATTTCATGGTGAGGAGGATGAAGACAATAGCGGCGAATTTGAAGGTTTTCGGACATCGCAAACTAAAGGTGAAAATTTTCAGTTATTGGATTTTGTAAAGAAATGTGGAGAAGCGGTAATAAATGAAGATGATATAAGAGAAGTTTTTCATTGTGACGACAATGCACCAATCATCAATCAATTAACGGACAGCGAAATATGTAGTATGGTTCTAGATCCAGAAAATATCGCTTCCGATAGTGAAGAAAGTGACACAGATGTTACCGAAAATGAAACAATTTCGATTGACAAATTAGTCGATATTCTCGACACCGCAATTATAGGACTTGAACAGCGGAACTTTGTAACTGAACAAGAAATTATGTCTGTTTATAGAATTAAAGAGAAAGTATTATCACATAAAACGAAACAACTTAAACAACTAACATTGATTGAAGAAATGTTTAATAAAGTAAACAAATAAATATTAAGCTTTTTTTTTTTTGTAAATTTTTGTACCCTTTAGATCATAATTGTTCTTTATTTCATAAATTACGGTTTCATATTTTTAATTTTAGAATTTCTGCATGCCATCTTACGAGATTTAAACTGATGATCTATAATCAGGAAAAATCGATAATCCGGAATCGCCGAAGTCCCGACGAGTCTGGATTAACGACTTTTGACTGTATCTTTAATTACTGAAAATAAAACTTTTAAAAATGAGAAAACACATATAATTAGAGCACACACCTAACAATAGGAAGTTTTAATAATTTGGTTGAAATCAGGGATCACAATTTTCTGGCAGTAAATACTATGCTTAATTTTGCTTGCTTTTAATACAAATTCGGATAGTGTATAGTATTACATACATTATTTCTTACATTAATTCCAATTTACTGGAGAAGATGAAAATGTGAAAACTGCAAGCTTAAGGAACTTTTAAAGCTGAGATTTAAAATTATATAGAAAAGTAATGGAAATAAAGCAGTTAATAATAATAGAAACAATAGTCATACATGGTGAAGTGTTATACAAAGTGTCGAATGAAAATAAAGTAAATCTTTAACACTGGAAATCATTAACATAGCATATTTAAGTTCTTGCTTGGACTTTAAACTGATTAATTTCATATTACTATTGATTTCACAAACTCTACTCTTACATTCATTGCTAGAAAGTTTTTACTTTATGTGAAGGTTTGCTAAGAGGAATCATTATAGTAATTTAAACTGCTTCCACAATTAAGACACAATAATAATTTAAAATTTAAAATAGCCAAAGTAAAAAATGAGGAGCATGATAAATCTTGCTATAATTATTTTATCCTAAGAACTCTACT